CCACCTGTGGCTTTGTCTGGCCCCAGCCCCACTCCCTCCCTCATAGTGCAGGGGGGACCTCGATCTGCACCCCCCCATTCCCCTTCCCTCCCCCATGCACCTTCCCTCCAACAGACTTACTGGCCGGATGCTGCTCTCCAGGCTGCATATCAGCAGTCAGATGGATATTGGCCTATAGGGCTGGTTAATAATCAGCCAGCAGTATCAGTCAAACAAATCTTTATTGGTGCACCCCTAAACCTTACTGTTATAAGGTTCCCAGCATCCTTAGAACACCTTCAAGAGCAAACTGGATGCTTATCTTGCTGGGATCCTATGACCCCAGCTGACTTCCTGCCCTTTGGGCAGGGGGCTGGACTCGATGATCTTCCGAGGTCCCTTCCAGCCCTAATGTCTATGAAATCTATGAAATCCTACTTCATGAGAGTCCATTGCTTGGACAGGATGGTAGTAAAGTAGAATTACACTCATGCTTAGGGCCACCATGGTAAATGTGTGTTTTTATTACAGCTGCTAAAGATGGCACGGCAGGGGTGCCCAACCTACAACTTTATGATTTGAAAACGGGGAAATGTTTAAAGTCTTTCATCCAGAAAAAGATGCAGAACTGGTAAATAATGTTTCCAAGCACTAATTATTTCAAAGAAAAGTGATTTCCAAAACATGATCCTGAAAGTGTCATTTTAGTGTGGTGGTGTTTTTCAAAATATTGCCTGTTTCAGACTGAAAGTAAGTCTCAATACTAGGAAGTAACTGTACACAGTTGTTTTTAATACAGTGAATTTGCTATCCTTATGCACGATAAGGTGCAGTTGGTGAGAAAACAGTCCCATTAGCAACTCTAAGTCTGATTGCATGCATTTTTATTATATAGCTGCTATCAGCCTCTTGCAAATTTGTAACATTGAATCTATTTGACCAGCGATCTAAACTTAAGATTTGCTGTTCAGCTTTTAAAGGTCAAGATAGTAAAATGTTTCCTAGTTCTGCTTATTATCATTTTTTTCCTTTAATCCCAGGTGTCCTTGCTGGGCGGAGGATGAAAGCATTTGTGCCAGGAGTGTAAACAACGAAATACACTTCTTTGAAAAGAACGAATTTAGTACGTAAACTTTCATTGCACTCTTCATACATTTCTCCTCTGGCTTTCTTCACCTTGTCTCATTACTCGTATTTCTTGGCTTCAATTGAAATATTAGTTGAAGCTTTTATTTTGGAACAGAAAATCATTACGGATTTAATCAAGTCCTGGCCTGCTATATTTTAGACACAGGTGCCCAGTTCTGACTTGACTTATTGCTAACAGAATTCATGAAGTATGTGTCAGTACAGAATTTGGCTTGTGATTCCTCTCATGGCTTGTGCTCGGCTTTTCTATTCCAGTTGTCAAAAAGAAATAGGGGAAAAAAGATTAGAAAATGAATACTTGCAAGAACAGCACTGCAGTTGAGGGAGATTCTTTCAGAGGCTTGGTGTGAGTCAAGGGAATTTAGGGAGCAAGGAAAGCAAGCTGGGTAGTAGGGAGTTGAAAGGATGATGGGTGGAGGCAGAGCAGTATGTTGAAAACAGGCAGTGCTGGGCAGAGAAGAGAACAGTGAAGGAGGAAATGGGGATGGAGAGAAGAAAAACCTTTAAGATGGCATAAAGATGTTGGGAGCTAATGGTGGCAGCACAACACACTGTCATGGGTAATGTACAACAGGAAGTATTGTTTTCTGAAGCGGTTGGAACTTAGAAATATCAAGAAATTGTGTATCTGACTTGAGATTAGCTGAAGAAAGACGGTTAGGGTGAAAGTGGGACAAGTCATCTGTCATTTGGTGGATTCCTGGAGTAGTGTTTAAATATTCTTGGAGAAAGGTTTTTATTATCATTCCTGGTGGGGGAAGAAAGCTTCCAAAATGACTCGGAGGGGGAAATAGTCCTTGGGTTGCACTTGTAAAAATGTCTTCTCATGCCAGTAGGGTTCCTGCCCTGCACTATTTGTTCTTTCCCTTTTTGTCTTGATTCTGATCTTTTATAAACCGAGAGGTGAGACTGTTGTGAAAGCAAATTTCCTTTGCACTTTATATTTAAAGCTAGTTGTTGAACAAACTTTGCTGGCTTTAGTTGGCAAAGAGGTCATTCATGAATTGAACCTTGCAGTTTCTGTGGGAGGGCTAATGATTTCCAGTTAGATTAATTCCAGCCACCTTTGAACGATCCCGCTGAACCAAGGCTACTCCTTAGGATTAAAGATGTTACTGAACACTCTATTCAGGTAGAATGTTCAGTAATGAATGATCTACTCCGCAGATCAATAAGGATGATTTGTGACTTAAAGTGCTATGTATTTTCCTGGAAGCAAGGGTGTACTTTCTTTTAAGATGGGTGTTAGTCCACTCAAATGGAAGAATAGTGGGAAGGGCAACTGGATTCACTTGGAAGGAAGAACCCCTTAACATGGGGGTGGCCAACCTGCAGCACAGGTGCCACAAGTGACATTTGGCAGATCAAGGTGGGGGCAGGCAGCACAGCAGCAGGAAGCAGAGAGCAGAGCATCAGATCAGATTGGGGAAGGGGATTGGAGTGGCATGCTATAATTTGTGGTATGCCTGCCAACAAAGGTTGGTGCCTGCTGCTATAATCCTTAATGTGGTAGAGACACCCCCATACGCCCATCAGGTGTTGGGAAAATATGACTTGTCTAAGAGGAAATCATTTCCCATTTCTGGTACTGAGCTTACTCTGAGTGTTGCTGGTGTGGAATTTTTTTCTAGATGCATTATTTTGAGTGTGCCAGCAGCGGGAGCAGTGTTTGATACACAGGAGACCTTTCAAAGGGCCTGCCATATGAAGTCATCACCTGGCTTTCATTCATAAAAATCCTGGGAGAAGCACACCTGGCTTTGTATAGAGTGGAGGCGGATGAGTAGGAGCAGCTGTGGCTGCCTCTGTACACAATGTAGATAAGATGGAAGACTGACACTTGCCTAGTTTATGGACCAAAAAGTGTGTTTGGGCAGGTTTAAGAGATCTTCCCACTGCATGAACTTCTTCCTTAAAGCTTGCAGAATGTTTCAGACCCAGACTTGGTTCAAGTAGGTTCCAGGCTGTGACTGTAAATAGAAGTAAATCTAGCCAGAGCTTCAAGTCTGAGGGAATATACAGTTAAAGGTGGTTGCACTGCTGTTTTTACCAAGTAAAGAATCTGTTTATAGGTAGATATGCAGCTCCATGTTTATCAGTGTCACAGGCCCAAATAACATTATGATTAAGTATGCGGACTAGCATTATCTGTCATTTAACCTTTTTTGCAATTATGGTTTTGCAGATACTATTGCACATAAACTTCATTTGCAAAAAGTTAGTGATTTTGTGCTGTCACCTGGATCTCAGCCAAACAAGGTACTTGTAACACTTATTCATTTGACATTTTACATTTTTGGTTCCCTTAAGGAATCATGCTTCTTTGCCTCTGTGCTGCTAAGAATAATACAAAAACTTAATATCCTGGTGTTGATTTAGGTTGCTGTGTATGTTCCTGGGAGCAAGGGTGCACCCTCCTTTGTAAGACTATACCAGTACCCCAACTTTGGTGGTCCTCAGTCGGCATTGGCCAACAAAAGTTTCTTTAAAGCTGACAAAGTGACAATGCTGTGGAATAAAAAAGGTATAGTGGCCATGTGTTCAATCTTTTATATTTTAATTGTTTTGCTTACTGTGGAATTTCTAATTTTTGTACTTACCTAACTAATTTGTGGTTAGGTGGATACTGAAGACAAATGCTTATAAGAATGAACTTCAGAGTGCTGCCCCGTGTGATCTCTTCTTCTCTGTCTCCCTCTCCCTGCTGTCATGTTGTCCTCCTTTTGCCCCTAGTATTCGTTTTGTACTTTTCCTATTCTTGCCTTCTAATATTTTTTAATGCTTCACATGAACCTCCTGTTACAGTTAAATTATAGGTTTCCTGGTAAAAATCTCACCACACCATATCCTAATTCTTGTTGACATAGAACATACTTTCTCCTATTTCATTTTTTTTTAAAGCCACTTAATCCAAGATCCTGTCTACCATTCCTCCTTTACTCGTCAGGTGTCATGTCTTAACTTGTGTAGACTGTAAACTGTTTCAAAGGAACACTTAATCTGTTTTGTAAAATCTCCCATATGTTTGTAATGTATGTAAAATCACCATTGTACAATGTGACCCAAATTTTGCCCTCAGCTGTGTCCTTACAGCTCCCACTGAGAACAGGTGGAATCATAACCAAGTGTCAGAGGACAGAAGCTGACTGTTTTATTCAAATGTACGTTTAACATCAGTGCAGCTAGAAATTCAGACTATACTGTATATGTGCAGTGTGGGCCAGTTGAGTTGCTATGAAAACCTGAATGTTGTTTCACTGTTTTGAACTGTTTAAAGTGTAGGCTTATGATTATATTGGACTGCGAGCGAGAATTTTAAATTTATTTAACCTTTATGGAAAAAAAACATGAGAGAGGAAAACATTCCCTTGTCCACTGATCTTACTGCTCTTCCTTATTTGCATGGTAAAAAAGTTCCAAACTAGAACAACATGATAGCACAGATGCACATTTTATGTAACTAGTCAACATTAATAATATGTTTATTATTCTGGTTCCATGAACTGGTATGTCACTGAATATAGTGGAAATTAATTGCAGTCATACTAATTGTATATGCCTACGAATATAATTTCTACTGGTTAGAGCCTTAAGTTTACGGAAGTAAAATATTAAATTACATGTATATGCATGTACTTCCATTTGTGCATACAAACTGCGTAACCCAGTGTGTGCTTTGCCACTTGTTGAGTAATGGCAGGTCTTTCAAAATCACGGTGGTAAAATATTATGCTGCAACCCACTATCACATACACTTGTATATGTGCATATACATCGTCTCTTTATGTCAGTAAAAGTTTGTTAATTTTTTGCATAATTCTAAAATGCAGTGACTGGGCTATGCTCTCATCCTTCCCTCAGAAAGGTTCCCTTCCACCCCTTGGGTTAAAATCTAGAAGGGAAAATTTCAGGTGAAAAAGAGAAAATGATAGGCAGTCATGAGCATGTGGTAACAGTGGCTGTAGAGAAAGCATCCAAGTCACCTTAATGATAGATTTCACAGTTAGCCACATCTGCATTTCTCAATGTGTATATGATTGTGCAATAGAGCCTACTTGGTTTGCATTTTTTTTTTAAACGCATCTTCTGTTTTGTACCTTAATAGCTACTGCTGTGCTAGTAATAGCCAGTACAGAGGTTGATAAAACCGGAGCATCATATTATGGTGAACAAACCCTACACTACATTGCAACAAATGGAGAAAGTGCTGTTGTACAATTACGTAAGTGGTTTTCAGAGCACTAGTGGGGTTAGAGTGTTGTTGCAGCTGTGATGGTCCAGAAGTGTGTGACAGGCAAGACTTGTTTTCTGATCTCTTTTATTGGACCAACTGTGTAGCTGGGAGAGGAGCCTGACAAACTTTCAGGCATGACCGAAGGAAGGGCAGTGTGCGCCTGGAAGTTTATCAAACTTCTTCCCCAAGTATACAGCTGGTTGAGTAAAAAATATCACAAAATGCTTTTCAGAGTGAGAGTTATTGTTGAGTTTGGTTGGGTTTTTTGGTTAATTTCTGTAAAAATATATTGTTCGTCATTCAGAGTGATTTAGGTACAACAGGGTGGCCAGCGAGCGACACAGATGCCACAAAAGGCATGGGCAGCTTGTGTGTGTGGCACCTGGCAGATTGGAGAGGGGGCAGGCAGCACAATTGCAGGTAGGTCAGGAAGCAGAAAACAGAGATGCAGCTGAGGCAGAAAGTAAAGCACAGGGAGTAGAAAGATGAGTGGTAGATTGGGTAAGGCTAAAGGATCAGAGTGGCACTTGGGGAGGGTGCAGGGCTAATTGGTGGCATGCTTGCCACAAAGGTTGGTTCCCATTGATGTACTACACAGATAATAAGGTGTTGGAATTTGTGATGGTAATGGACAATTTAAAAGAAAAATACTTTAAAAAATAAGTTCAATTTCCTGTGTTTCTTGGCAATTGAACACCTATAAAATTGCATCAGACTATAAACTGCAACTCTCATGCCTACACATGCATATGTTTGGTGGTATGCTGTACTGAAATGCAGTTGCTCCATTGTCTAGGACTTTCCATAACAGGCATAAAAAACCTGCCCCTTTCTGTATGTGTCCACGTGTATATGTGCTCACACAAACAGGTTAATTGCATTTTCAGAGTACATGGAACATGGTAATTGGAAAAGAAAAGTTTGATATTTTTGAAGGAAAAATCGATAATAAATTTGGGATGAGACAACACATTTTGTGGAAGTTAGAGGAGTTTAATCCTAGTGTCCTGGTGCATGCCAACATCTGCTAACCAAAGTCTATTGGAGTGTTGTTTTTTTTCCTTCCTCTCCTAAACTGCTATACACTGTTGAACAGCTGCTGTTTCACAGGTGTTGACAGGCTTAGCAATTAAACAAATAAAGGATTTAGAAATCTTCATATTAAAAAAGATGTGACACTGCAAACTGTTGATTAACTGGATTTTCCCATGGTTGTTTGCCTTCTCTTCAGTACCAGTGCTCACTGTGATAGATTCTCTAATTGTCCTGCTACGACGCCATTTCTGGTAGCAAGGACTATAAACCCCCATTTTCTTTTGCTAATTTGACTGAAAACCTTGGGCAGGCCTATAACTAGGAAGGGGTCTTCTTTTGGGAGCAGTTACCTTTCTTATCTGAGCAATTAGTTAGTGCTTAAGTATGTTCATCTTAAGGCTTATTTTGCAAACTGCAGTTTAATACTGCAGTTTTCATTTCAAATGCTTTATTAAAAATAACACTTTATAGTTAATTATTCCAAATGTAGCTATTCCCTTTGAAAGAAAAAGTGAAACATGGCTTTGATTATTGCCAACAAAGAAACATGAGCAACAGGAGTCAGTGATCAAAATTTATTTAGCTAAATTGAATCAACATTCTGTTTTAAGAGTTTATATTAAAATGAGTACCAGCAATTAATTTGGTACTACATGAATTGTAAGTAAGGATAGCTAACTAGACCACATGTGGACTGATATCTATGTGATAAATTGTACAAATGTTCAGTAAAGTGCATTTTTTTAATTCAGCACTGAGCACCTCATTTGCACTTGGGCCGCTGTTCCATCTTTCCACTCTATATTTCAACATTCCAACCCTCTGACTAGCTTCAACCAGCCTTTACTGGTTAACCAACATCCCACAAAAATGTGTTTTAGTCTCCTCCATTTTTCTTACGAAAGGAAAATTTCTCTGGTAAGAGGCTAAGGATGTCTTGTGGTCTAGAAACAAGATCCAGTATTTTACAGTGTAATAACTTTATACAGCTGGTATAAAGGTCCTGCTTTTTTGCAAGTTTCCAGTGCATCACTGCTACAAGTTTTAGAAGACCCTGAGATATTGGCTTTGAATGGCGGGACAAAAAAAACCAAGGGATTTTTAAAATAGAGTATAAAATGGTGTTTTGTGATATTAATTTCTACCAATGCCATTATCAAAAGTCAGTTGTGCTGTAATTGTCAGTGATTGGATTTCAGCAAAGATTTGTACTAACATTTGCGGGGTGGAGTTTTATTCAAATGAAATGTATGAAATTTAAAATGTTAATTTATATTTCTTTTCCTTTTAGCAAAAACTGGTCCCATTTATGATGTGGTATGGAATCCCAACTCCACAGAGTTTTGTGTTGTGTATGGTTTTATGCCTGCTAAAGCAACTGTTTTCAATTTGAAATGTGACCCTGTGTTTGATTTTGGTACTGGTCCTCGCAATGCCGTCTATTACAACCCTTCAGGACATATCTTAGTTCTAGCAGGATTTGGCAATCTCAGAGGACAGATGGAAGTGTGGGATGTTAAAAATTACAAACTTATTTCCAAACCCCTGGGATCAGATTCGACGTATTTTGCATGGTGCCCTGATGGGGAACATTTTGTAACTGCTACGTGTGCTCCAAGGCTGCGAGTTGGTAATGGCTACAAGATCTGGCATTATACCGGCTCTGTTCTTCACCAGTATGAAGTCCCAGTAAATGAAGAACTATGGCAAGTTTCCTGGCAGCCGTTTTTGGATGGCATTTTTCCGACAAAAGCAGTAACTTACCAGGCAGTTCCAAGTGAGCTGCCAAATGCTGAGCCAAAGCCCGCTCAAGCTTATAGACCACCAGCTCTGAGGAACAAACCTGTAACTAGTTCTAAACTTGTAAGTAAATGTCACTAGCTCTTGCTTGTCTATCCTAGTACCTGTTTGATACTTCATTACAAAATACATTTAACTGGGGATGGTAGGGGAATGATCAGCCTAGTCTCAACTTTTTTTTTTTTTTAAACAAATGCACATCTGTTAGAAACCTTGTGTTAGCAACCGGCTATGTTTTCAAGGATATGTTCTAGAAGTCTTATAAGCTTTGCAGGGCAAATCATCTCCCTAGCTTCCCAATTACATAGAGTTTGCAAATTCTGCCTACAGTTGCTGCTGTTGAAAAACCCAAAAGGGTATGTGGGTAGTTGGGAAATCTGTCACTCCAACTGTGCTGTGTTCATCATGTTTTAGTGAACCTGTTTGCTAGAGTGTGAGCCAGAACTAAAGTTCTTGGGGGATGGTTTGCTGTCCTAAATCATACTGGCCTCTCCCATTAGATAAGTCCAGCTTGGTTGGGCATTTGTATCTCCAAATTAATATTTTCCCCTGTATTAGGCCCAGTGAAACCATTAACAAATCCAGTTCAGCCTAAGCATTTTTCTTTTGATGATGTACTCTTTATCTTCCCTTTCAGTTGTCAGTTAGCAATATTGCCCAAAGTCTCATTTTAAATAAAATGAGTAGTCTTTGTAATCATTGTATTTAATGGTGATTACAGTATGTTTCCTTTTTATTTCTCTTAACTTTATATGGTTTTGATGTTGAGACTGCTGTCTACAAAGGAATGAGACACTCATTACAAACCCTCAACTGTTACTCACCCCTAGTGTCTCATTTCACCATGTAAACAAATTTAGCCAGCTTATATAAGGGGGGTAGGTGGAGTCATAGAATCAAAGAAAAATAGGGCTGACAAGGACCTCAAGAGGTCATGTAGTCTAAACTCCTGCTCAAGGCAAAATCATTCCTTGCTTAAGTCATTCTAGAAAATAGTGATAGAAAACTGTTTAAATATATTTAAAGGCATTGCAGCATTGAATATATCCAACCTGCTAAACATAGGTTTTTTAGAAAATACTTGGGAGTGTATTGATGGTTGTTTTTCCTGGTTTGTGTCTCTGTTTTTGTTTTTTTTAGAGTAGCCTGCAAGGGGAAATATATATGATATGATACAAAAAAAAGGCTTTGCTTTTTGGTTTTGGTTTTTTAATTCGAAAAACTCAGAACTATCAGTTCTGGTCTCCCTCCCTTGGAGAACAAAATAAGTGGTACAAGATCTTTCTTGCTTTGCAAGTGAAGGGGCAGGATTATTGATGATCTAACAAAATTTTGCTTCCAACTGAACCTCAAGAGTTTTAATTAAACAATTGTCAATAAGAGTAAAATCTATAAGCAGTCTGACAAAACAGTGTTTTCCCTTTTATATTTGCAGGTATTTATCTTCTGGGTACATGTGATGTTGTGATTCTGCCAGGAATCCATAGTCTTTAGGAGGTGCAGGATAAACAAATCCTGAAACCAAAGGGAGATCTTTTGGGGGTTGAAACTTCCTGTGCTGTCTTAAGCTATCAAAAAGAAAGGGCACAAACCCATTTTTTTTTTAATTTGTAGGTCATCTTTAAACGTATTATGGCACTAAATTTAATATGTAAAAACATTTTAGCAGGTTTTTAGCAGTAGTGGTTTTTGAGGGTTTTTTTACAAATATAGAATGCATATTTTAGAACTGCTTAATTTTTGTGTTTCTCACAGCATGAGGATGAGCCTCCTCAGAACATGAAACCACAACCAGGAAGTATTGATAAGCCATTATCTAAAACAGCACTTAAAAATCAAAGAAAGCATGAAGCAAAGAAAGCTGCTAAACAGGTACTGCTGGAGTCAGTCCTCTTAAGGATAATATTAAAAGTGTTTGCCAGTCCCATATAATGAACTTACATTTATTTGTGGAATGCACCTGTTCATGACTGCATGCAAAATATCAGGGGATAGGATAGCACATTTAATACACATCTTAAGTTATCAGGGCTCATGGTAGAGGTGATATCTTTTATTAGACCAACAAGATTTTTGCAAAAAAAATCTTTAATTGCAAGCTTTCAGGCACAAGCACCCTTCATCAAGCATCGGAAAAAGACTGTACAAGTTCTCCTGGGTAGAAATGAAAGTTCATGTTTCATAGGATTTCACAGAGGAGTCAATAGATGGAATACTCCTCTTGGCAGGCAGTTCTTAGCAGGTAAGTTGTTTTTAAGTAAACGAGACCTGGGCTTTGTCTTTCTCATAGATGGTTTTCATAGATTCATAGATGTGGGGTCGGAGGGGACCTGAGCAGATCATCAAGTCTGACCCCCTGCCCTGGGCAGAGATGAATACTGGGTTCATATGACTCCTAGTAAATTTAAGCTCATATGACCCCAGCTAGGTAGTTATCAAGCCTCCTTTTAAAGACCCCTAAGGTAGGAGCCAGCACCACTTCCCTTGGAAGTTGGTTCTGGATCCTGGCTGCGCTGACTGTGTTTTGCTGCCTATATTTCTTTTCTGTGGGCGTGCTAAACCACTAGCTGTTATATGTGAAAGAATCATGAAATGTAAAGAAAAAAAAATCATACGTTTTAAATAGTTTTATTCCTATCAGTACTTAATTGAACCAAGGTTTCTTGATCTCTCTTAATAGAAAGAATTAAAAAAAAACCCCAAAACCCTGCAGTGTCAGACAAATTCTGATGAGTACCATACCTTATAACTGCAAAGTGGCTTTTAACCATAAAAAAACATTAGAGAGCTAGTGAGAGGGGGAAATGTCGAGTGGTTTTTCCTGTGTTTTCATGTGTGTCAAATCAAACGTGTTGATTAAAATAGTCTATATTTTTTTTTTGGTAGATGAAGCATTAATTTTATTAATTTCCAGGAAGCCAGAGTTGATGGGAGCCAGGAATCAGCACTACCTCCAGCAACTCAGAACATACCCTGCAATCCCATGCCTGCTGTGACATCAGGAGACCCCGAGGTAGACAAAAAGATAAAGAACTTGAAAAAGGTGAGAGAGGTTTTTTTTATAATGAAGGACAGTTTTCTATATAAAAAGGTCCTAAAGGGCCAATCTCAGAGATTGTTAATAGCAGCACCAAGGGGGATGCATGTAAAATGTATAAGCTGTTCCAACTGCTGTCTTCTACTTTCTCGTATTCTAAAGTAACACATCAGTAATCATTTAAAAATGGCTTTGTCCATGTAGGGCCTAAGCACGGTAGAGCACATTGTGGTCTGTCCAGCATGACACTCATTTCTCCATTCTTCCTGCCATTTGCCAAGTACTGCTGGATTTGGTTTGGGAGAAACCACTGCTAAAAAGGACCAGTGTGTAGCTGATACCTAGTTGTACTTGTGAAGCAACCCTAGGAGCCTCTTGTCTTTGCTTGGCAGGTACTACTTCCCCATGTGTTCTGAGAAGACTGTTCTGACTTCAGGTTGCAGGGGACAGGGAGAGTTGCTCTTGCTTACTGTTCAACTTTATTCCTTCCCAATAGCTTTGGTTTTGACATAGTGTGTTGCACGTATTTCCCAGTAGAGCCTATCGCTATGCCTTTAGATGGGCATTATAGTTGTGCTGAGAGAGAGGCTTTTCACAAAGAGAGCGTACACCTATTCAAGGTGTCTCTTGTGGAAGAGAACTGGCTCTGGCACAACAAAGTTATCTTCACTTCCAACCAGGAAGATCTCTCCTCCTCTCAATTTAATTTGAAGGCCTGCACACTTATTGGCTGTTGAGGATACCCAGTGTCCTACAGTCTTCACAGAATTTTTAGCATTGGGAATGAACGCCTGTCCATAGTCTATGGTTGTGTTCTGAGGGGATATCTGTAGGAAATGATATAAATCCATCTCACTGTTTCTTTCACCCAAACCTCAAAAAGAGACCAGGTGAACTGCCAGGCCTGAGAGTTCTCTGATTTACATCTAGTCAGACAAGAATGAAGCCGTGTTTGGACAACAGGGCTGCTCTTCTTGATTAGTAATAAAGGTGTATTTTTGGTGTTTTGCTCTTATCGAATCAGCCTTAGTTTTCTGTTTTGATTATGGCCTTCAGCCATGGTAGAAGGTGATGTGTGGAGAAGGAGAATTTTTACTGCAGAAGATTTCCTTCTGAACCTTAGATGCAGCTCCTCAGTGCAAGAAATTGTCCTGTTTCTGGATTGGTGATATACATTAAAGTATCTAGGATATGATGTTATAGTGATTCAATTTTTCTAGGGGTGCACCAATTTTTTTGGCCAATACAGATAGCCACTTTTTAAGGAGGCATATCAGCTGATACTGATCTGATTTCTGATGCACAGCCTGGCAGCTTGAAAAATAGTGTCCGGCTGGTAAGCCTCCTGTGGTAGAAGGGAAGAGGTATGGGAGGTGGCAGATCGAGGCCCCTGTGGTGAACAAGGGAGTGGGGCAGGGGCTGGGGCAGGTGCTGCCCACCTGGGGCAGGGCACAGGATAGAGCCATTGTCTTGTCTGGGGGGCATGGGGAGTGGGGAGCAGCTCCTGCTGCTGTACTCACCCTGGGAGGACATGGGGGGCATGTGCCCCCAGATCTGCGTGGGACAGGGTGGGCTGCTGCTGTAGGCTGGGGCCAGGGCTGCCCCAGGCTCTTCCCAGCGGGGGCTTGGCTGCGCTGGGTTGCTCTTGGGGCAGGTGGCGGCAGTGCTGGGAGAGGGTGGGGGGCTGCACCCACCCTAAAACTACAGCACCAGCCCACACTCATCCCATGTGCAGATCTGGGGGCACACACCCTCCTGGGGTGCATGCAACAGCAGGAGCTCGCCCCCCCCTCCCGCGCCCCCTGGACGAGCCATGGCTCTGTCCCATGCCCCAGCGCCTCTCCCTCCCTCACTGCAGGGGCCTCGGTCTGCCCCCCCCTCCCCTCCCCCAACAGACCTACCAGCTGAAGCAGCTCTCCAAGCTGCCAGGCTGTGCTCCTCACTGCCTACGTGCTGTGGCTGCATGCGTGCACGGGGCATTTATCGCCCAAATTATCGGCCACATCAGGCCAAAAAAGCCGACTTCTGATGCAGTCAATTTTCTTTATATCGGTGCTGATCTGATATCAGACCGATATATCAGTGCACCTCTACATTTTTCTTCAGTGCTGCTTAGATGCACAGGTGAAAAGTGTTTTTGTTGCTATGTCTCCTGTGGAGGGAATTCCCTTATCTGATAAGCGAATCGACCATAAACCAAGAAAACTCCAGAAACGTTTTTTAGCTCAATATAGGTTTGTTTGGTTTTTTCCTTTTTCACAGAAACTGAAGGCAATTGAGCAACTGAAAGAGCAAGCAGCTTCTGGCAAACAGCTAGAGAAAAACCAGGTATTACTAACGTGTATTTTTTTTGTTTGTTTTGAGGATCAGACCTCTTTCTTCAATGCTGTCAATCCATAATCCATACCACTTTTCAGTTATTCTCCTAGGTAAGTGCCTAAAAGACTGCCCATGCCCTGTATCAAAATCAGATTTGAGCCACTACCTCCAAGAGAAGCCTTCTCCTCAGATTAAATTAATATCTAAAAACACTGGCTCACTTGTGGTGAAGAGCTCTTTGGGGGTGTAGTCAACAGAACACAAGAGAAGGATATTTGAGCCTCCTCAGTCAGCGTCCCTACCTACAAGTTGTTCTCCAGCACAGCTGTCTTGTTGCCATCTGTGCCATTACCACTATTTGAGTGGGTAGGTCAGTTCTTGGCAGAAAAATGTTGACTGACACTGCTGTTATTCTCAAGTCCTTTCTGGAGTCCTTGTTTCTGTATATTCCATTGTAGGCTGTGCATGTGCAGTAGGTGTCTGAGATCAGGGAATCTTTGCTAACAAAACCTGTTTGATCCACAAGTGCCCCAGGTATCTTCGTATTATTGTAGCAAATACACAAAGGACAGGACTAGTTGGCACTCCATTTTCTTTTTCCTGCTGTTTGTTTGGGATGGAATGCCTATGTCCACAGCTTTAGACCATGGTAATTATGCTATCTAATTTGTAGATAGTTAATAGATAAGAGTTATTTATGACATTTAGGGCCCCTCTAGATGTTCAGGTAATGGCATGATAGAACCTGGTGTGTGATCCACACAATCGTGTCTCCTGCCATGCTACATGTGCTTGGCTGCAGGCTTGATTGTGGGATTCAGCATCAGGTCCAATCATGCTTTCTTGCCAGAACAGGGAGGAGCCTGAGATCATGCTCCCGCTGTACCAACTTCCATAGCTGACAGGGTCTATAGCTGGGGCAGCATTCCACATCACCTGGGGAGGCTATTGGTGTTCCTTACGCTGCCCCTGCTGTGAGCCCCACAGCTGATGAGGCTCACAGAGTGGTGAGCCTCATCTGCAAGCCCTGCAGCTGATGAGGTTCGCAGGGGAGGAGGGGGGCAGCATGGGAATGCTACTAATTTTCCTTCCAGAATGAGAAATAAAAGTCCAGGGATGGTTTTTAATGGACCAGTCTACAAGGGCCAAGTCACATCTTGGTCTCATGAGCTTCTGCATAAAACAGACTCCAGGCTTTTTTTTTCAGTTGGATCTGAAGTGGTTTCTCTCACGTCTTTAGCGAAGGCATCAGTTCCACAGAAGAGGGATAGGGACAAAGCCCTAAATACCTTAAGATACCCTGTATTTACATGGGGATACAAATTTTCAACTTGTAACAAGTCTAGTGAGAGTCTGTGCCTTCGCATGGGTGCAGTTGGGGCTCCTGAAGACTTAGGCACCTTGTCACCCAAGTCTTACATTTCTAAAATGCCCTCTGGTACTGGAGCTATTGCTCTGGGACCCTGTTTGATACCAGTTCATTTGGAACCCAGTGGTGCCTTTAGTACACAATGCAGAAATCAGTACTGAGTGCTTTGTGAAGGAGGAAGCAGCTTGTATTCCCCCACCAGTGATAATGTCCAAATACAACATCTTTGTACACTTGATAGTTTCTTCTGAACCTTCATTCCATTCAAGAGCTTACGTTTGCTGTTGAGATGTGATATTTTTGCCCTTATCAGTATTGTGGTGTTTGGTACTATCCAGGACTATTTGGTACTACCCCCTTAAGTCAGTGGGGGGCAACCTTTTTGCCATACATTCCAGAAATTACCCCCGCTTGCATAGAGCCCCTTCTTCTGCCTCATCATATGCTCTGTTCCCAGCTCTGCTCCCTGCCCGATCCCCTTTTCTGTCTTCGGCTCCCTGTCCTGTCTGCTGCTGTTCTGCCTATCCTCTCCCTGATTGTCATATGCTGCACACACAGGCTGCCCATTTGTGGTACTTGTGCTGCAGGTTGGCCATCCCTACCCTAATTTAAGAGGTCTAATATTCTTCCTCTCATTGTTTAAGTAGTGGGAATGTCTTATTTAATTATTTTCCTAGGTCATATTACACCTAAGTTAGCTCAGATAAGAGAGAGGTGCATCCCAGCATTCCAGATATGGAAATTGTTAATACTTTCCCTGGCACCTCCCTCTTTTGTGAAGTTCTTCATTTTCATAATGGACAACACCCACAGTGGGATTTTTAATATAGATCACATAGACTGTCTAAGAGTCATTGCGTCTCATCAATATTATAGAGTTCAAAGCAGTGTATAGAGCATGTGATCATTTCCTACTATTTATTTCCAGTCGGCTTGTACAGATAATAATGTCAGGCAACTGGACAGCAGTATACTACATAAGCAAGGAGGAACACGGTTTTTGTGATTATGCACAAAAGCAGTTGTGCTTTGGAATTGGTACATTCATCATCATCATATTACCTTGTCAATGATTCACTTCTGGGTTCAGAGCACACTAGCCAGTAGTCTGACTGGGGATTTCTATGGGGAATGCAATGGGAGATCAGTTGACTGCATGGTGTAAGTCATAGTTCAGCAGTGGGACCATCTATCCAGGGATTTGTTTTCAACAGGGTCAAACAAGAAATGTCAAGAGTTTTATAGAAACTAAAGTTAGTAGCAATGTTTTTCTGAGGCAGTGGTCAGATGGCTACTGTATGCATTTTCACCAATTCCATTACTCCTAAGAGAACAGGACAAGTCATTGTATTAGCCCCCATCTTTGCCAGCACAATTGTGGTTCTTACTGCTGCATTAAGTACCTGCACCTCATCCTCCGCTGTCAGACCATTTGACCCAACATGGAGATTTGTTCTGCTGTCCCAAGATGAGTAACACATCTTGTAGAACTCCAGTCACTGTACACATTTTTATTTATATATGTTTTGGATTGCAGTATACCTTTTGCAGCTGCTTCTTAACTCTGCCACCTTTTGGTGGATAGGAGGATTTTGCAGGGCTGCATGGTGGTGGAGGAAGTACACCAAGTTTTCCCTCTACACTGTCACCCAGCTCTTGTTTCCTTATGATTTAACAAGCTTGTTCACTTTGTTATCCTCCACTTCAGACTACAAGGATTCATAGAAGATAATTATATAGAGGAGGGGTGGCTTTATGGTTAAGGCACAGGATTGTTGCTTGACACATTTGTACTTCTGGCGCTGCCTCAGATTTTCTGGGTGGTTTTTAGCTGGCCCTGGCCATCTTGGTTTCCTTATCTGTAAAATGAAGACAATACTTTGCTGGAACGTTGTGAGGCTGAAGTAAAATTACATCTGTAACTTAAACGTTGGATCTATTAAAACTTTTCTACTATAGTTATGAATTAGAACTAAGATTACTATAGCAGAAGGATGTAGGGA